TTGTGAAGTCGGTATACCTTGTTCTCACTTCCTTTGATCACGAATCCTTCAGGCTGGCTTACATAAACTTCTTCTTTAAGCTCGCCATGAAGAAACGCAGTTTTGACGTCGAGGTGATGAACTTCCCAACCGCTTGACGCAGCTAGAGCAAGTATGAACCTGATCGTTTCAATTCGAGCCACTGGAGCGAATACCTCTTCAAAATCAATACCATATCGCTGAACATATCCCTTTGCCACTAGCCTTGATTTGTACTTGTTTATGCTCCCATCTGAGTTTCTCTTAATCTTAAAACCCATTTTAGACCGATTGGTCTTGCTCCAGAAGGAAGATCCACTAAGCTCCATGTTTTATTTTTCTCAATAGAGGATAGTTCTTCTTCGCAGGGATCTCTCCATTCCTTGAGTTCTTTTGCCTCCTTATAGTCCCATGGTTCATCGTTTGCAGCTAACATGAGACGTTCGCTCTCAACCTCTGCTAAACATACGAAATCATTTAAGTAGGATGGTCTCATTCTTGGTCTTGTGGATCTTCTTAACAGAGGTAGAGAATCTCCTTCTTCATCTATATTATCGTTCTCATCTTCGACATCAGGCTGTGAATGCTCTGTTTCGAGCTCCTCCTCGTCATCAGTATTCACCTCCTCTGTTTCCTCTGTTTCCGTGACCCCTTCTTCTTCTCTTACAACTTTATCTTCGCAACCTCCAAGATTAAATGTGATCACCCCTGTATCATCGTTAGTTTCTTCCACCGATTTTCTCCACTTCCAGCTTTTCCTCTCATCAAAGATCACATCTCTGCTAACCACAATCTTTTTACTCTTTGGATCAACCAGGCGATAAGCTTTTGTACCTGGTTCAGTCCCTAGATGTACTAGCACACGTGATCTGTCGTCCAATTTCCTTAAGTGTGGAGACTCTGTTTTCGCATAACCAATACATCCAAAGACTCGAATGTGCTCCAAGTTCGGCTTCTTCTTCTTAAAAGCCTCGTATGGTGTTTGTGCGACCAGTGTTCGTGTTGCAACCCTATTTAAAAGGTACGTAGAATGTCTTACTGCCTCGCCCCACAAGTAGTTTGGAATATGCATGTGTTTCATAATGCTTCTGGTCATCTCTAGCAATGTTCTGTTCCGTCTTTCTACTACTCCATTCTGTTGTGGAGAATATGGAGCAGTTAAGTGCCTTTTGATGCCAGAATCATCACAAAACACTCTGAATTCTTGAGACAAGAACTCTCCTCCCCTGTCCGTTCTGAACGTCTTAATAGAGGTTCCTGTCTCCTGTTCTACCAGTGCTTTAAACCTTTTAAACTTGTTAAAAGCTTCACTTTTTTCCTTTAGAAGCAACGTCCACATGTAACGCGAGTAGTCGTCAATGAGCACAAAAATGTATCTGTTGCGTGCTGCTGTAGAAGGACTAATTGGCCCGCAAAGATCTCCATGCAAAAGTTCAAGTATTTGAGAAGCTCGATACTTTGTTGCTTGTGGAAACGATTTTCTTGTTTGCTTTCCGAGTAAACATGAGGAGCATGTGTCCTTCTCCACATTGATACTCAGTATGCCTGTCACTAGTTGTTTCTGTATCATCATCTTCATACTTTCTGAACCAATGTGACCGAGCCTTGCGTGCCATCTTGTTGATTCACTAAGTGTCATAAGCTGTAGACACTTAGTGCTCTCTACTTCCATTCGGACTTTGTAAAGCCTATTCTTTGATCTATTAGCCTTCACCAGCATCCTTCCATCTCGATCTAACAAAGTTAGATAATCATTCTTCATCCTAATGTCACACCCTGACTCTGTAGCCTGTCCAAGACTAATAATGTTGCTCTTTAATGCAGGTATGAAGTATACATTGGCCAGTACCTTTCGTTCCCCATCCTTGCTTACGAAAAGAATTGACCCTTTTCCTTTGATGTCGATACGCGAATCATCACCAAAGCGTACCTTTCCCGTAATACTTTCGTCAAGCTTACAAAAGTATTTCCGATTACCAGACATATGATTGCTCGCTCCATTGTCCAAGTACCAAACATTGTCTTCGTCAGCTGTTGTCTCAAACTTGTCTGGTTTCACATGTCTTTCGTTAAGATACACCACCTCGTGCATCATCAACTTCTCAGCCTCTTGAGTCTCATCTTCTTCTTCGGTCTCATGAGCCTCTTGTAACTTGAGTAATCTATCTGGACAAACCGATGCATAATGTCCAGGTTTGTCGCACCTGTAACATACCAGCTTTGATTTGTCCTTGTCTTGTCTATATCCTCCACCTTGTTGACTGCCAAAACGACCACGTCCTCTTCCACGGCCTGAGAAACGTCCACCTTGACCTCTCCCTCTGCCATATCCTTGGCCTTCTTGGTTATCTGTGTTGGCGTACATAAGCTTTCCTTGATCTTCTACATGGTTTTCTTCTTCACTGATTCTTTCTTCATAAGCCTTTAGCCTTCCTATGATGTCTTCAAAAGGTGTTGTCTTCAGATCAAGTACTTGCTCAAGTGCAGCAACAATATGGATGTATCTTCCCCTTGGCAAACTACTGAGAAACTTTTTCACTAACTTTAGTTCGTCAATAGTTTCTCCAAGAGCAGCTGATTTTGTGGCTATCTCTGAAAGTTTTCCCACAAAATCGTCAATTGTGTCATTATCCTTCATCTTCATCCTATCAAACTCAGACATTAGGGTTTGTAACCTAGCTTCTTTAACCCTTTCAGCTCCTAGATTCCTGCGGTTTATCGAGTCCCATACTTCCTTTGCTGTTGCGAGGTTACCTACTTGTAGAGTTAAGGTCTCGGGTATTGATTGGAACAAGAGTGCTTTTGATAAGTCATCTTTCTCTCCTTCTGTAGTTCCGGGGTCAATAGCTTCCCAGACCTTATGAACTTTGAGTGCCGCCCTCATTCTCATGCACCATACCGTGTAGTTAGTGTTGGTGAGCATAGGGCATTGTACCGCCGAGGAGCTGCTCTCTTTTGCTTTGGTCGTCGCTGGAACAATATCTCCCATCGTCTTCTGATTGAAAACTTCGGATAGTTTTAGGTTTAAGCTTTCTTCGAGATGAACCCTAGACTGCTTTCTTAGGTTTTAGTCGATGAAGCTCTGATACCAATTATTGAATGAATGCTCAAGATCAAGGTTTATAAAGCAACTTCTTTATTGCTTTAAGAAAATAACTCAAAACTTAAAGCCCTCAAACTGATAAGTTATGCCACAACTTGGCATCTCCTTATATAGAGGTTTAGATAACTCCTAAACCTATTGGATAAACACAACTTAGAATATTTCCTATTTTATTATCTTTTCCTAATCATATCTCAACTAGAAAAAGGATAACTTGCTCTTCAAGTCTTTTTCTTCTTCAAGCTTACTTCAACACATATCAGTTGATGTCTTATATACTTTATTTTCTTTGCAACTAATTCAATGGCAGATTATTATTTGCTGAACGATGGGAGATCTTTGAAAGAGATAGATTAGCGAAGGAGAATCATCGACATTGCCAAAAGAGAGATCGACTGAAATAAATCGCCAGATGAAATAATCGGTGGTGATGTTGGTGATGATCGACGACGAAACTGGCCGTGAAACTGGGTAGTAAGGGATAAGAAAATGTATGGGTAGTTTTTCGTAACGAAAGTTACTTTGGTATCTCCCAAATAAGGGGGAAAAAAGCTTTAAAAATACTCAACTATTTAATATTTGTTAGTTTCTTATCTCAATTTTTTTGCGTTGTAAAAAACCAATACAAACTAATTTTTTGATTAAAAAAATACTTGAAATATTTTATGGTTCCAGTTTCCATCTTACAATTTCACGGTCGGAATTAGTAAATTCCTTTATTTTCCAAAATAAGAAAAAGTTAAAATAAATCTCAACTATTTAATCTTTGCCAAAAAAGTACCTAAACTTTTTATGTTGCCAAAAACCCACACAAGCTAATTTGCTAATATCAAAAACCCTGAAATATTATACGGTTTCAGCTTTTACCCCACTACTTTATATCAATTAATGGTTCTCCCAAGCTTCATTCGCTGATGGTTACTCATTTGGTATTGGTTAGTTTCTCATCATAGACCACATATATTCTGAAAGGCGATTTGAATATAAGCTCTTAACTAATCGACTCTTTGGAACGGTTATCTCAGTAGCTCATAATAGATTAATAAATATAAATTAGTAGGTGATTAACTAAGATAAAGTGTGATAGATGTTTTTGATCATCTACGAAGATCATCTCAATGAAGATTAAATCAGTCCAAAAGTAAAAAAATTATCTGCAGAATCTTTAGTCATAAATATATCATAATTTCAATTTAATATCGTAATTTACTTTGAATTTTGTTAGTGACAATTTTTTTTAGTTGTTGTAACTCTTTGATATTTTGGTTTTTTAAATTAAGTGTCATTTAACGTTTAAAAAAATTAGCGAATGTGGATTTCTGATAACATAAAAAGTTCGTGTATTTTTTTGGCAAAGATTAAATAGTTGAAGGTTTTTTTTAGCTTTTTCTTGTTTTGAAAAATAACAGAGTTTATTAATTTCGTTTAACTGTTAACGGCCGTGAAATCGTGGAGTGAAAATTGGAATCATAAAATATTTCAGATAGTTTTTTGATACAAAAAATTAATTCATGTAGTTTTGTGCAACACAAAAAATTCAGGTAGGAAATTGGCAAATATTAAATAGTTGATGATCTTTTGAATTTTTTTCCCCTTAAATAAGTAAGGGTATTATATTTGTCACTCGTAAGTTTTATTGGTGTTATTTCAGTCAATTTCTCTTTTTTTTTTATGTGTTTTAAATTTAGTATTTTGATATTTTATTAACTAAGTTCAAAAACAAAACAAATATTCAATTTTAGTGGACCGAATATTTTTAGTTAAAAAAACAATAAGCTCAAAGAGAATAGATACATATTGTTTCCATATTTGTCATTTAGGCATATAAAAAGAGTTGTCATTTAGACATATAAAAAGAGAAAAAGATCAATAACTCAGAAACAGATGTTCAAACATTAGATAATAAGATGAAGCAGCTCAACTTTTGATATTACAAAATGCATTTGAAAGAAAATTAATCGTTTGCTACCCGTCTGATAAAGCATTAAGCAGTGCCACTAATGAAACTACTAAGCAATTAGCATAATCTAAACTCTTATTTTTTTCTTTCATCTGCAAAAGCTTTGCTCTCATCTTGAGGACAAAATGGTGTTAGTTCTTGGTCATATGTGCACAAACAACAAAAGATCCATGCAAATGAACCTCAAACATACCGTTGTGGAGAGTCGAGCAATACAGCATTTGTGTACTTCTGCTTCACCCGCGATGATGTTCTCCATGATCTTTGAATCAGCCGAGACGATGCTCGCAATCTTGAAGGCACTTCTTTCTTTACCGATAAAGTGTTGTCGTCAATCTTTTTCTCCTCTATTATGTAACAATCTGGTTGTTGGTCTGACTCCTGAGTAACCTCAGCTCTAACTCCACGGCTGTCATTAGATAAAGGTGTCTTATCTTCTAAACTATCACTTTCCTGCCTTTTTGTATCAGTTTGATCCGAATGGGAATCATCAGCCACTCCTGAGTTAGGATCTCTTTGGTTATCAGCTACATTAGGAAAGGAACCAACGTCTGTATCTTCTTTCTCCTCCAAGGACCCGTTAAGTAGCTGCAGATTCGATTCTGTATCCTTATTATCTCCCTCTTCAACACTCATTGACTTCAAACAGCTATCAACTGGGTAAGAAGGGGATTCAGCATCAGCAGTTGCACAATTTAGTTCTTCTGCGCTGTCTTTTGACTCCTCAGGTTTAGTTTCCTCAACATCGACCGGGACACTCATCTCAGTTGCCAACGGCAGATCACCTGTAGATTAACTCAGTCCATGAATGTGTGCACATAACATGAGCGTATTAACACATCAGATGGTAAAGGAAACTGAATTAGTACCATTTGAAGAGGACACATTTGACTCAGAGATCTTCTCCTTTGTCAGTGGTTTCTCCAGCATGTCTACTCCAGGGAACACCACCAAGTTGAGATTCTTGATTGTTTTTTTCGCTGATTCATGAACAGGCGTGAAGCCAAAGCCTGAGGTCCATGTATCCATTAGTTCTGGCACTGCTGGTATGACCAGTTTGTCTACGTTGAGAGAGCCAAGCGCCTGATAACAAAGCACATGTATATGGATCTTCAAAATTGTGAACAAAAGAATCTTTACAAAATTAAGCGTAGATACAAAAAAAAAGGAGACTGAAATAGTACATAGCAGGTGAATGCCACACTAAAAAGAAACTTGACTACTTCGCATTAACTATCCAAAATCAAATAAGGTAACCTAAAATGTGTCACTTTTTCATAACTGAGATCAGATGTCTAGATACATCTGTTTTTTTAGTTCAGTGTGATCTAATCTAGCAACCATTTTGTAAATTAGTAATATCATATTTACTAGGAACATGGAAATGCTAAAGATCCTCTAAAAAGCAGTATGGTCATTGTCACCTAAACCAGCACACATCTAATAAGACCTCACAGATAGCAAGCAACACTTGGGAGCAATAAGCAAGAACTCTAAACGTACATAAACAATCAGACTAAATAACAGAGAGAAAAAGGAAAAAGAATTTAAGCTATGACTAGATGTGGAAGGCCTACAGTTTCAATGCCGCTCATTAGTCGACGACACATTCCTTGACGCCTGTACATGTAGCGGGTTCCGATAAAAGGCATTTCTGCCAGTTGATTGCCGTGAATCCTGAGTAAAAGAAAAATCATTAGTGTTCTCAATATGCATGGGCACTCACAGAAAGAAAAGCTCATTCATACACACATATAGTACTAGCGTCAATCTATTGAGATCCAAACAACAGAGTTTCCGTTTAAGGAACTCAGCATGAGTAATTGTATTAACTAAGCTTTTAAGATAATCATTATTTATCTACTGTATTAAGAAATAACCTCCCTGTAAGTAAATATTCATGTTCGAATATTAGGTCTACATACTCCCTCTTACTGGTTCAGACAGTGTGACGTCACATTTGAGTAATACTTCTTCTGCTACTATTTTAAGACTACAAAACTTATTAACCCTTGTAATCAATTTTATGAAACCACCAGACGCACCTGATAGATGCAACACCGATAATTTCATCACCCCTCTCCAAAACAGCAGTGAGAAAATTGCTGTAATTAAGCCGATGAAAGGTCGACCTACAAAACAATAGGAACAAGTTCAAAAAGTAATCGGGTAGCATATGGGCTGTTTACATCTTAGACAATAAGGTCAATTAGATTCACGTAGCCCATCATCTAACATGAAAAAGGGACACAGAAAAGGGAAAAACAAAGGTGAAGGATATACGATACCCACTTGTAAAATAACAGAAGCTTTAAGAAGAATTCTTTTCAGAGGGAAGTCATCAAAATACGGTCTCACAACAAAATGAAATTATTTCTCATAGGTAATGCACAGTAGACAATCCCTAAAAGGCTTGCTAATGAACCAAATGAACAAAACAGAAGCACATAAGAACAGAAATGAGCTTACCCAAAATTATAAATAATGTTTTCAAGCAGGTTGACACCACTCCTGTGATCAACTAAAGGTGAAAAGCACTCATCCATAACAGAAAACGCAACAGCCAGTTTGGCATTATATGCAATATTCTCAGATATGTCATCATCGGAAATCTCACGAGGGAGCTCAAAGCGGCGAAGGAATGTCCAGGAGAAGCCTTCAGGCAGCGGGTGTTTTACTCCAATGAGTAACTGAAGTCCCTTGAATAACTAGAAAGAAAAAAAAAACGAAACAAATGAAATACTAAGCGTCCAATGTAGTTATATATTCGTAAATTACCGCATATATAAGTGTACAACAGAAAGCTATATGTTCAGGAAATTATATATATAACTGTAAAATAGAAAGCTTTTTGTTCAAGAATTTTTTTCTTCATGACTTTAATGTCACTTAGGGCCCTTTTTGAATTCAATTTCAACCTAATGTCCAACATCTACAGATACAGCTGCAAAGTGACCTTTTGACTTTCATTAAGCCACAAGAAAAATAAAGTTTTAGGGAACACATGAAGGCATTTTTTCCTACACAACTGCTTTTTACTTTTGAATCTAAGAAATAACTGTCTATTGATAATTATCTTGTTGGAATATCTTACCCTCCTAGCCATGTATTTTTCTCGAGTCCCCAAGTATCATCATCCAGTCTATGCTAAACAGAAAGCCTTGGTCGAAAAATGGAGACAACATATTAAGCCTCTCTGATTGCATGTATGTATGACATCATAATAAAATTGAGCAATACGGCATGTATGTATGACATCATATTAAGCCTCTCTGACTGCATGTATGTATGACATCATATTAAGCCTCTCTGATTGCATGAACCTATATAAAAGATTGCATGTATGTATGACATCATAATAAAATTTACAAACGTTCCCACACAAGCACATTTTGTTCAGACTTCCAAGAAATTATACTTTCAAACTGCACCCTTTCAATTAACAGAGCCCCGTGATAAAAAGAAATAAAAAGGAAGGCTACCTCTTGACAGTACTTTCCACAGAATGAATGAGTACTCCTTTCACCAAGCACCGTGCCTTCTTGCTTGATGCATGTTTGGTGATCTGCAAAAGTAAGGAGGGTAATTGTTTGAGCTCAAAATTCATTTCAAGAAATCTAACAGAAGCTTATACATCAATAAAATTAAAGGATAATATGCCTTTAAAGTGTAATGCATACATTTCTCTTCACATAGGCGGCACCTCAGCAAGGGGGAAAGAGTTGTAGTGTCATGATTAGCTGCCTCAACCTTCTCGCAAAATTTGCAAGAGCAGTAGCAACAAAACCAGGCACCAGAAGGGAATTTCTGCAGTTTATAGAAAAACTGAAACAATAAGCAACTTAATAAAAGAAACGCTGCATTAACATTTGAAGGATTCAGACTATAAAATGATTTTTGACCAAAAGACTCAGTCATTGGTTAAGAATCCCATCTTTAACATAAACTTTCATATCATAAGGTGCAACTTACTTTAATGCCCAAGCAACTCTGATGGAAGGTTGATGGGCAACCATCACAGCAGATAAGATCTCCCCCATCCCCGCATATAGCACATGTATCATCATTTTGCTCCCCAACACCAAAATCCACAATATGGAACCCTTTAAGCACTGTTTCGCTTTGTTTATTCCAAGACTCAAGAAAGCACTGCAAGAGAGAATTCCCACCCTCTAAATACAGACTTCTGAATGGCTGGTTCTGCTCACCTCCAGCATGAACCTCAAAGTCGAGAACAGAGAATACTTCGTCACAGCAGTTGCATCGAATACCATCTTTTGTAATTATTCCTTCAAGGCGCACTTGTGTCTTTTTGCAGTCCATGCACTGAACTTTCCCGTTAAGTGGCACAATGGCTGAATCAATCATCCAACCCAGCACGGTGCGTTTCCCTTCAAATAAAACGTAGCCATTCTCCTTGGAATCCGCATCATCCAAAGAACTGCGAGCAGACAGAGCACCACGCTTTCTGTTATGTTTTTCTTCCCTCTTTATTTTTCGAACTGACACCGAAATTCTTTCTAAGTTGTCTGACCTATGACTCCCTTTTCGTTTCTTCTGTGCTTTTTTCCCATGTAGTGTACACTTTCTCATTCCCTTAGTTGAAACCATACTTTCATTAGTATCTACGTCCTTCCAGTATTGCCTTTGCTTACCTTTATCGCTCCTTTTTTTCTGAGTTCTTCTCCCTAACAGGTGAAGGTCATCTTCTGGTAGCAAGCCAAAACCAGAGTTCACTTGATCATTCATGCTGCTTTCCAAGTGTTTTTTATAGCGTTGATAAGCCTTGGTCACTGACCAGTGAGTCTTTCCCTCGGGATTAACATAAACAGGATCCTTATATTCTCTCCCATTTCGGGGCCTGTATTCAACTGTCCAACCAGCAGCTTGAAGTAACTGCAGTATCCGGTCACTCAGCATTTTCTTAGATTTTGATCTAGATTGTTGTCCAGCTTCAATCTGCTTACTTTGTAGCTCTCCAATCCTCCTTTCTCCATCATTTGAGGTATTGTCGAGCCGTGGCTCTAGCTTCAGTCTCTTCTTTGCTTTACAATCTGATTCATCTGTCTCCCCATATTTCCTCTTCTTGTTTGGTGTTGGAGGTCGTCCACGCTTACGTCCCATCTTCCTTCCCCTGCAATTGCCTTCGTCAAACTCAGGTTCCTTAGCCCTGCCTCCACAGTTACGTTTTGGTCTCCTGGATTCATTAATAGAGTCACTCATACTCTTGTCCAGCGTAATTAGAGTGCTCCCATGTCCACAGTCGACATTCTCCTTTTTTAAGCAAAGACCAACAGGCGTCATTTTGGTCTTTGTGGGTCTACCACGCTGAGGCTTCAAACTAGGGCTGCTTAAATCTTGACTTCTCGCAAGTTTACGGTTAGCGTTCAAGCCACTCTCTCCAGATTGAATGCTGATCTGCAACTTTTTAGGCCTTCCACGCTTACGTTTAACGTTTACCTCTTGACCATGTGGCTCAACATTCCCATTTTCATCCTTAATTTCAACATCAATCTGACTACTCAAATCAGCTCCAAGAACCTTCTTATCTTCAGTAGATTGCTCATACTCAAGCTTCACTTCTGCTTTCTCCTCTTTAACACAGCTGACGCCAATACTTTTTTCCTCATTACCATCACACTGACTGTTGATCTGCAACTTTCGAGGCCTTCCTCTTTTGCGTTTAACTTTCAAATGTGGCTCAAACCTCCCAGTCACATCACCTGATCTATCATCTTCACAATCCAGTTGAACTTGACTTCTTATATCATCACCATGAGTCTCCTTAGGCACAGGAGACTCTACATCCTCATGCTTTGCTTCTTCTTTCACCTCATCAACACAACAAATCATGCTAATGTTTCCACTCGTACTTAGATCTCTCTTACGAGCACTCTTTCTTTTCACTTCCAAAGCCACCTGATGTTTCTCACTGTCTCCACTATCCCTTGCCACAGAACATGAGCGAAGAACCTTCCGAGTAATATTAACCTCACGAACGATCGGCTTAGCCTTCACCGTTTTCTTCTTCTTCTTCATCTCGATTACATTCTCAATCCCATTTTTCACCAAGCTCTCAGTTTCAGGCTCAGCTTTGAGACAAGATTCACTGAAATCCTCGTTCAAGTTGAAATCTTTTTGCTTATCGTCTTCTTCGGTTTCAGAAATTCCGTTACTTTGGAGCATAATGTTCTCAGATTTTCCCACCTTCACAGAGATTAACAGAGACCCAAAAAAATCCGGTGAGCATCACGAGAAATCAAAATCAAATAATAAAAAAATAGGAAAATTCTAGCACAATAGACACACTCGTGAAATTATAAATCTTTCAACGAAACCAGATCAAGCGACATAACGAAGAAGAAGAGATTTCGAAACCCTAATCGAGAACACAAGGCCGTACCCGGATAAATGTGGATGGTTACGGAAGAGCCACCGGCGTAATCGGACGGGGAAAGCGAGAGAGACGCCGGAAAATCAACGAGTTAGCGACAGAGATTCACCGGAGATTTGGCATTGTGGAATCGATTTAGAGAGGGAAAACGAAGAGACAGGAACGATCAAAGGGTTTAGCTTTGATGTGAAAGTGGAGAGAAGGTTTTTAAGTCTTAAAGCACATGCGCGAATCGAGAAAAAATTGATTTTTTTTTGGTTTTCGAGTAATGATGACGATAATTGTATGTGAGGGTAAATTCGTCATTTAAAATTATTATTGTAACGTCGAGTTTCCCTCCATTTTAGTTCCGGGAATTCATTTATTTTTTAAAAAAATAGGAAAAATACAGAGAGAGAGAGACCAAGAGAAGTCAATGTGTTTTTAGAACGCCAATGTGTTTTGTTTGCTTTAGGATTTGATTTGGACATCAGTTTTTTGCGCTTCTTTTTATTTTTTAATTTTGGAAAAACATATTCCAAATAGAATCCTAGAAATGTTTCGGTTTGAATTTATATCGGTATTATAAATAAAATAAAATAAAAACAGTAGGAGGCATGTGATCTTGTTTGATTTTCACTACGTCCGCCCCTACTCGTGAATCTATATGTTCTTATAACAATTTTTATAAACAAAACTGTCTATTAAATATTAATCGTATTATCAAAAAATATTTTAACCCTAGAAATTGCTCTACCATAAACATTTTTTTTATTAATATAAATAGAATAAAATAAAAGTACTTTACAAAACTTACAATGAGTCAATGAATATAGTAGTAAATAAGAAAATCGTACTAATTTGAACGCTTAATTTGTGATGTCACTTACTAATGCTAAACTCTATATTTTTTAAAAAAAATTCTTAATATTTTATTTTAGCAAGGGAGTAACGTAAACACCAAGTAACAATAATCTGAAGAGTATGAACTCGGAGATTAATCATACTTGTATTCTTCTCAAAGAAAACACGCCGATATCAATTTCAAAAGAGATATTCTCTTTAAGTTTATTCAATCAAAAGCTGTCTTACAAAAGAGAAAGGATAATCCTTTTATAATAGAGAAGAGAAGAAACACCGAAAACCCTATTCTCTTCAAGTTTAGGAAATAGAATAAAAAGGAAAGTAATTAAAACGATAGGAAAAGGAAGAACGTAAAACACAAGTAAAATAACTAATGATGCGCTGCATCAGGTCGCTTAGGGTGAGAAAAAATCCGTCCTCGAATTGGAATCATCATCGCCATCCAAATAAGGAACCAAATGCTTCACATTAAAAATATATGTCGTATTCATGTGAGCAGGAAGACGAAGTCTGTAAGCATTATTGTTAATCTTCTCAATGATATTTAAGGGACCAAACTTCCAAGCCTTGAGCTTGTTATAATCTCCTTGTGAAAATAAATTCTTAGTTAAGACTGCCCAAACCAAAGTCCCCATCTTAAACTAGACATTCCGTCACTTTGCATCCACCACAGCTTTACTTAACCGTAGAACTGGACCATGTTCAATGGTAGCAACTCTAAAAAAGGTGCTTAAGTATTATTTAATTATTAAATTTGAAATCATCTCCATTTTTTAACATATGTCTGCTAAGCACCGCTGCTTAAAAAGCTTACCTAAACATCGATGCTTAAATTATTGAATTTTTATGATTTAGTTTTTTTTTTTAAATTGCCTAAGCACTCCTCCCAAGCATCTGCATTGAACATGATCTTATAATCTCCTTGTGAAAATCGATTCTTAGTTAAGACTGCCCTAACCAAATCTCCAATCTTAAACTGGACCTTCCGTCGCTTTGCATCCACCAAAGCTTTATACTTAACCGTAGAACACTCCAAATTTTCCTTCACTTGTTGATGCAGGGACGTGAACTCTTTGACAACATCACAAGCGCGACCATGAAATTGAGAATGATCAGTCAACACCGTTAAGTCAACAGGTCCACGCAGAACAATGCCATAGACCACACGAAAAGGACTAAAACTTGTATTACGATTCACCGCATGATTATGGGCAAACTCAGCTTGACAAAAAACCTTATCCCATGTGGGAATATTATCACCAACCAAACATCGCAGCAAATCTCCTAAGGCTCGGTTAGTCACTTTGGTTTGACCATCCATTTGAGGATAATAAGCTGAGCTCATGTCTTGGCTGGTACGCAGAAGTCGCCACAGAGAACGCCAAAAGTGACTAAAAAGCGAGAATCACGATCTGATACAATTGACAAAGGAAGACCATGAAGCTTATACACCTCCTGAAAGAACAAAGCAGCTACCTGTGATGCATCAGTTGTCTTCTTGCAAGGAATGAAATGAACCATCTTTGAAAAACGATCCACCACGAAAATAGAATCATGTCCTTGCTATGTTCTCGGTAAAACAAGCACGAAGTCCATGCTTAAATATGTCCAAGGTTGCGTCAGAATTAGTAAAGGTAAATACAGCCCTGCATTGTTAGCTTGTCCCTT